GTGTGAACTTGAACAAATAATCCAAATCCAGTGATTTTGTTTCTTTATCTGTAATGTAGCAGTAAACTGTCCACATTTTTTAAGTTTATTTATTTTTGAGAGAGAGAGAAAGAGAGAGAGAGAGAGAGAGAGAGAAGTTACAGAGAGAGGGGGAAACAGAGGCTCCAAAGTAGGCTCTGCACTGAGAGAGAGCAGAGATCTCAATGCAGGGCTCAAACTCACGAACCATGAGATCATGACCTGAACCTAAGTCAGATGCTCAACTGACTGAGCCACCCAGGCGCCCCAAATGCCTACATGTTTTGGTCAATACGAGGCTTAGAGAAAATGAAAGCATTACACTTGGGAAACAACTGGCACAAATTGGGTGCTCAATAAAGGTTGAGTGCAGGACTGTAATTAATATCATAATGCCATAGTCTGTTATTGTGGTTCACACTGATATTTGATACCAGTTCATATTGATATTGTGGTTCACACAGAATGCATGAAGAATAATGGGGGTTTGGTTGTATAATCCATGTTAACCCCATGCTCCTGCACCTGCATTTGTCAAGCCAATAATTAATTGTCTGTGTGACTTTGGAAAAGTCCCATTCCTTTTCCATGCTTCTAGTTCCCATTTGTAAACTAAGGACACAGAACTATATCAGGGTAGAAAACAGGTTTAATCTTTATTGTTAACTCTAGGTAATCAGTACTGGGGACTGAAAATACAGATTTAAAAGGATTCTGAGGCAGTGGTTGGGCTCAAGAGATAAATTTTCCGTGATCTATTCTCAATGCCTAACATGGGTAGGGAGGCTGGTCACAGCTATCCCAAATTTGTCAGGTCTAAACTAAATGTTCTCTAGGGATTGTCTCAACTCCCAATCTTCTAGTTCCTTTTCTGGGTCTTCTTGATGGGCCTTTGTAATTCGTGACATCCTGATAATAAATGGATATTTACTACCAGTGGAGTGAGAAGTTAAGAATCTGAAAGGAGAGTGGTAGACAATGAAGCCACTTCTCCAAATGGAAATAGAGTTTCTTTGAGACTTCATTGCAATTAGAGCAATAAGAAAGAAAGAAAGAAAGAAAGAAAGAAAGAAAGAAAGAAAGCAAGCAAGCAAGCAAGCTTGCCTGGGATTCTCACTCTCCCTCTTCCTCTGCCCCTTCCCTGCTCATGAGCATGCACCCTCTTTTGATAGTTCCCTAAAGTTATGCATATAAACCACATCCCAGTGATGCCATGTAGGGTTTGGAACATCATTTGCTGGTAGGTTTCTGTCCATTAACATTTAGCAATGGATACACTAGTGGGTTTAACCAAACCAGAAAGAGTTATTTCCTGATTTCCAGTTAAAAGTTATAGGTTTCTAGCAGTCATATAGTTATATTAATGTGTACTATACATAGATTATTTTAGAAATTGATTTATCTACTTCCTTTGATATTTAGGATCTAAGACAAGAGTGTCTTATTTCTGGGGTAACTTGGTTAACTCGGGTAATGGGACTGGACTTTTATGAATCTTCAGGAGGAAATCATGTGAATCACTTTTCAGTCTTGGAATTTTGTGAGGAAGAATAAAACACCCAGTTGTCCATTGGGCAGTTTATCCATCGTAAGCACAACATTCTCCCTGCAAGTCAGGGGTATTTGCCTTAATTTTAAAAGCTTTTCAGGTATCAGTTTCCCGCGAGGTCTTCTCTCTCTACAGTTTCTATTTGCAGGCAGGGTCTATTCTTTATACTTCCTTTTTATATGCATCACTTCAGACAGCTATAACATCCGTTGGGTCCTGCTATTGTAAATTTGTGATCTCTGGCAAGACCAAAATCACCAGTCTGTAGTCATACTGTTCCACTCAGTATGAGGAAAAACAATATTTTAGACGGTTTTCTCAGAATCCATCCATACCATGCATGAATTTTGTCCACAACGTGCCTTTATCAAGGCTCTATGATAGAAGGGCATTTGTATAGGGGGATTTATGAATATGACAGCAGCAATAAGCAGCTGAAAATAATCTATGAGGCGTTTTCAAATTACCCCTCATGAGCTGTAGTCATTGTGAAAGATAATTTGTGGTTCTCACAGAATACCCTGCAAATTGGGTCTTTCATCTGCGATGTTTTTTGCAGTTGAAACATTTCATTTCTCATATTAGCAAGTGATAACTCTGCATTTGTTAATCTAAACAATTTGATTTATATTTTTCTGTGCTGAGAGGCTGTTGACATTTCAGGGTAAGTAATTATTTTCATTGCCAACTGCTGTTTGTGGTGACTGTAGGCAAAAGATCGAAATCTGAATATACATAGGCATTGTTTTAATCATTTGCCTTAAAGACTATTCATAAAACAGGAATCTGTTTGCCTGAGTTATCGTCTGTACTTAGAAATCTAGTAGGACATGGGTGTTGATGAGTGAGGATTCTAGCCACATTCAGGGTTTTCTGCGGCATATTGGAAGCTCTCTCATGTAACCACTGTGGGTGGGGGATCGGGGTTGACCTGCAGTGTCACCAAACCTCCGGCAGAACACTGTGCACTCGCAATCTTAAGTCACAGTGGTGAGAGGAAGCATGTGTTATTGGCCTGGGTACCACCCAGCTTTTGTAACACTTGTTCAAGTATCTCGGAGCTGGTTGCCAGGATTACATGACCGATGCTCACAAAAACACCTCTCACCATGCCTGGTACCTAGTGCAAGCTCTGGAAAGGTTTGGTGAAATTGGGACGACATATGAAAAGATCTTCTAAATTTCCTTTCTTGTGTTGCCTTCTTGGCCAAGGACTTACAGCCCAGGACAAGGGCAAGAATGAGTTTTTTCACCTGGAAATAACCACTGTGTCCTTAGACTGGATGCTTAGCCTTGCCCACTGAAGTGCCTCCCAAGGCAGAGCAGAAAAGAGGCCCCAGGGCTTGGGATGGAGTTGTTGGCAGCCAGCTTTCTCTGGGGTCTGTTTTTGATCTTAAAATCCATGATGAGTTTTCAATCTACTTTCAACATATCGAGGTTTATTTTAACATTCAGAAAAAAATTAACATCAAAGTTGATACGTGCCCCCCCCCCCGTTGCTCCCAGAAAATCATTTAGCAAAATTGCTGCTCTAAGAAGATGGTCCATTTTTAGCTTGTGGTATGTGGGGCCCACACTTGTTGTGAGTCTCTGTGGGCAGGTGTAGATGGCCTCTGTGATGATTAGGGGTGCATAGGTGTGTGTCCTGCAAGGTGGGCTGTGGTAGGTTCATCCGTATTTCCCTTGGCCTCTTTATACTATTGGCCAAGGCTCTGGCTGCATCAGACAGGGAGAAAATAACTCCTGCCTGTGTGGACCTCCCATTCACATTCCAGGTTAGGGAATGGACTACTAATTTAGGATCCAAACTGAGTTTTACATGGCCTGAAGGAGTGAATGTAGAGCCAGTGCCCTGAATGGCAAATGTGTTTTATCCTTTGAACCAATTCCAATTGATTAGTTCTGGTTGCCTACAGTGCTGTCTTAAGAAGGCATCTGTGTTGCATCAAGGCTCAGCTGGGAGGATTGCTGGGATTGATTAGCGATGTCTGTCAAGGCCTCTGGAGGGACAGCTGACCCTATATTTGCCAGTCTCTGCTTTTGACATGTCCTTAACTCCTCTCTGTAAAATGATTTTAATACTAACAGGTGACTCTAAGTGTGAGATACGGATTCATGAGAGAGAGCAGGTAGATGACATTTTAAGAAAACCTAACATGAGAAAATGCAAATTTACAAAATACATAAATCTGGAGCCAATTATTGCCATTACAGAAAGATTCCATGAAAGGTTCCTTTAAATAGCGAGCTCCCCTACTGCATTACAATGATGATTTAATTTACAAAAATTCACTTTGCATGCAACTCTTCAGGACTGTGTCCATGGAGTAAAGCAGGCCACACCTGATTTTTTTAAACCTCGGCCCAAACAATATTCAGGATGGCTGCTGCCACCTAACTTGAGTCTCTTGATGATTTCCACTCTCCCCAGACTTCCTTCCTACTTCCTACCCCAGAGTGTTGAGTAGACAATCTGGGTGGTGGTCAACAGCTGCTGGCTTCCACCCTGCCACGGCTGCATTTCATTAGTGGGTAAACTGATTGCTCCGAGTATGTTTATGTGTGGGTGTGGTTGTACAAGTCTGTGCACTCGGTGCACTATGTATGTAGATACAGATACACACAAGCCATTATCTTGCTCTCAGCCCACCCTAAATTTGTTCCTGCTGTAAGAGTTATAAATGGAAGGTTCCAATCGCCTGGTGGATACAGCCTTCTGGTAACATGTGCCCTGGATTCCAGCTCCCCATCCTCTTAGTGTTTGTTTATATGTTATTTACCCTTGCATCAGAAAACTTCCCCAGACCCTGAGCCTGAGTCCCATTATCCAGACATGGAACCCTCCTCTTCCTCTGTGGCCTCGAAAGCCCCAAATGGTTTTCTGATTTAGAAAATTAAATATAATCTGACTCTTGTGGCAAGCTATGCAATTCCCAACCAACAGACTCTCCCATTAAATATATAACATGCAGAACATCTAAAAGTATCACTGATCTCACATGAATTTGAATTATAGAGGCATTCAGTGCCCCTCGGGTAAGATAGCCAGCTTCTTCCCAGGCACTCAAAATTGGGTAGTTTTCCAGTGGACCATAAAGCTCCCGGGAATGCTGGCTAGTGCATGTGTTTGAATTTCTGATGCTCTTTAAAGCCACGTAAGTCAGGGAAGAGTACCTGAGAGGTAGATCTTCCCTTTCGCGGGGTATGGCCTTCCCCCACACAGAGTAACTGCAGTAACTTCTCAGACGCAGAGCACCAGTATTGTCTCTGTTTCAACATGGTATTTTTTAAATCTCAACATAATTTTTCCCTGGGGATGTTTTTTGTTTTCCTTTTGAAAAAAGCAAAATGAGACAGTCACAGTGAACGCATCAGCCCGACTCCACACTTTCTTCTGGCCTAACGTGATTCTTCCTCTTTGAGGTGGAGGCTTTCAGGCTTGTGCGAGGTCATGCGGCCCTTTCCCTTCCATCTTCCCAGGCTCGTCCGTCTGAGCCAAGCGCCCCCCATTGTACTGTGCTGTGACAGCCGCATAGGTACAGCCATAGATGGCGGCCGCCAGCATCATGAGACACACGATCCCACACACAACCCCGGTGATGACGACGGTGGCCACCGCGTGACGCAGGTTAACCGGCCTCGGCTTGGGTTTGAGCTCACATTCCGAGTGGTCTCGCTGCCCCGTGCTGGGGCTCTCAGGAGACCCGGGGCCCGGCCGGTGGGCAGAACCCAGCTGCTGCACCCCCCATGTCCCCACACCCAGAGAAGGGAAAGGGCAGGGCTGGTACAGCTCATGAGGGATCTTCAGGAGGTCCTTCCCCTTCCAGGTGTCGGGTGACGCACAGGTGACACTGTCTGTTATTCCCCCTTTAAAAAACAAAAGCAAAGGCTGACAACAGAGCCTGGTAGGACTGGATTCCAAAATCCTCAGCCTGCAAAAGCTTAGGTAGATATGATATATAAAGCACCTTTTCCCCCATCTTTGGAGTCAAAGGACTTTATGATTTTAGGATTTCTAAGTTGGCTAAATGCTAGAAACGTTACACACTAAATGGGCAATTATGTATGACCAAGAATTCGTTAGAATGCAAGTCACTGCTACCTGATAAATGCTGAGGGAAAAGCCCTGTAGAAGCTGACAAAAAGGGGAACTGGAGGCCAACCTGAGGCACAACATGCCTGCCACTCATCACCACCACCCCCCAAAGAACCCTGCCCCACGAGACAGGTACTGTACCAAATTCCCACCAGAAATCTGAAACAACAGGTAAATGAAATAAATGTCCTTTGCTGTGATGTTATGTGTTAATTACAAAGACCCCATGTGTCTACCACCTGTCTTCAGTGATGCCAAAAGGGAAGGTCAATGGCCTTTTGAGTGTTTGTGTGTCTTTGACAGTAATATTAGTTTAATTCATGGGATTAAGTACAATTAATGTGTCTCCTCGGGCCTTGGAACATTCAGTAATTTGAGTACCGAACTTTCCAGCACGTTATTAGAGCCAGTTTCCATCCTCTGTAAGGTGATTGATTTCCTCAGGTATGTAGACTAGTGTTGTTCAGGGGTGGGGGGTGGATTTGGGTGCCCAGTAATTGTTTTCTAGAAAGAGCACTGAGCTAACAGATTTCATTCTGGCCACATATGACCACTGATTTACTGTTTGACCTCTGGCAAATTGATTTCTCTGGTTAGATCTTTTGCCATTAAAACACCATATTTGTATCTGATTTGATAGTTTACAAAGTGGTGCTAGAGAAGTCCTCACAACTGTGCTCTAATGGGTAATTCTTGTCCAAGGTCACCCAGGCCATAAGTGGGTGGATCAGCACTCAAACCCTGCCCTTCCTCTTGATCCCAGTTTTCCCACTGCACTCACAGCCTCTCTCCACCTCCTCCTCCCTTTTCTCCCTCTCCTCTGGAGCCTCTTGAGGTCAGTGGAGTAAACACAATGACCTTCAGTTAGGCCCTTTGACCAGTCAGAACTTGGCTTGCATGACCTCAGCTCCCCCAGCTTAGCTCCCCCAGCTGCCATGAACTCCTCCCCCAGGATGGCTGTGAAGCCTGGCACCACTCTTGGCCAAGTTAGGTTCTTTGTACACACCACAGGTGGATTATGGAATTATGCGAGAAAAATCACATGCAGGAGATGGTCACTTCAATGTAATTATAACCTGTTGCACAGCTTCCATCCATTGTCTGGGTCTCATAAGCAGAGTCCTACAAGGCCCTGTGAGTAGATGGAGCCATTTTGTAGTGCAAGCATTATCATGGCCCAGGTCACACTGGGATTAGTGGCTATGGCAAAATTCAACCCATACTTTTTGGTCACCACTGCTTGAAACTGAATGACCTATGACTAATGTCTCTTAGGTCCCTCCTGGCTTCTTCAGTAATCCCCTGAGGCAAGAGCCCCAACTCTAAAGCAAAAAGGTATCAGAAGTATTTCTTCCTTTCCTGAGCTCATATGCAGGAGGCCAGAGGTACAGGGTGGTTGCTCCTGATGAGCCCTAGGTGCCCTTAGGCTATGCTGAGACTATAGATCCCTGCCTCATGGACCATTTCATGCCTCTGCCCAGCAACTTGTTATAAGACAGAAGGCCACAGAGACTGAAATGAAGTCTGAGAAGAAGTAATGACATTTAAACTGGCCAAAGAACACTGAGACACCCCCCAGGGAAAGAAAGGCTGCCAGCCATGGGACCAACAATTCTACCAGCTGACCCATTCTTAGACTGGGGTGGTCCACCCCATCACTCCAGGCTTACACAGTATCTTCTCCAGTTTAAAGCTTCCTTATGATGAGTATTAGGGTGGGACTCGTGGCCTTGGGACCCAGAGTGCTGAGGAAATACACAGGCTGGAGCCAGGGACATCCTGGAAGTCAGAGGCTATGGCCACCAAGAGCTCCCTGGCCACCTGTGCAGCTGTGTCCTTGGGATTCACCTCCCAGCCTTCCACTACCATCTCCTCAGCCATGACCCCAAAAGGCAAATCTGCTGATGACAGCTTGAGCGTCATCAAGGGAAAGGCCCCCTCCCTTCTAGATTCATAGCAGCCGATAATGCAAGAAGCTGCAGCTTGCCGAGCCCTCATTATCCCCTATCTGGCCACCGGTAGCTCTTAACCAGTGTCTTGGAAGAAATTGGATTCAGATTTTGAGTCTGTGACTTAGCTGTGCCACCGTAAGCAAGTACTTGGTCATTCTTTGCCTCTGCTTGCTCATCTGGAAAGTGGGAGGGGAGGGTAATGGTGAAATTCATCTCACAAGATCACTCTGAGGTTCAGTTGGGTGAAGTATGTCAAGTATTTAACACAATACCTAACTGTAAATGTTACAGTTAGCTATTGACAAGAAGATGATTTGAATACTCTTGAATGGAGAGAGAGGAATACAGATTACAAAATCTATGTGCCTCCTTTTGTGAAGGAGATGTTTAGTAGGTATTCATGAAAGCACATTTTTTGGCTCTTGAGCCCACAGGAAGGCAAAATTTCTCTGCCCATTGTCGTCAGGTTGGGGACTTAGTTCTGGCCCATGGAAATAATGAATGCCACTTTCAGGCCACAAAACCATCTGCTTAATCCTCCATGTGATCTATTCCCACTTGATGGTGACCTTAGAGGCCACGTGGTAAAGTGGCACCATCAGAAGCTGGAAGGGGCTTATGTCCATGAACAACTGCATGGCACCCAGCCCCACCTCGCCCCTTGATTCTAACGAGAGTAAGCAACAGACTTTAATTGTGCTCATCACTGACACGGGTGTAATATCCACCAACCTGTCCTGACTCATACTGTTAGTGTTTGTATTTATTTATGTAACCTTTAAAAAATAAGGTCTTGACCAGTATCTGTTTTGCCTTATTCAGTATCTATTGTTCATGATGCAATCTAAGAATCAGAATGTGCTCCAGGAACTTTCTGGCTTAACTCTGTCAGCTTCCACCTGGTGATGCTGAGAGGTTGGGAGGGACATTAATGTGCCCAGAGGTCAAAGTTTGTGAGTTTGTGGCAGAGTAGGGGAGCTTTCTTCTAGCCCATGCTGCTTCTAGTATCCTGGACCTGGCAACTATCTTTTGTCAAGAAATGTTCTTTGATGAAAACTTTCTTTCTGTGATGGTTTAGTGTATGCTTAGAATTTAGTCAGAACACAATTGCTAAAGCCACTTTGCCTCTAGGTGTGAAAAGTTTTAATTGCAGCCTTTTATTAGAACGACTTTTGCCACATTGCATGCCCCCTGTTGTAGGTCAACTTGAAAATTATTTGGCTAGTGATAGGCTATTTGCTGTTATATTGTTGAGAGGGATTCTTAGTTCAGTATTGTATGTCTGAACTCACATTGTGTTCTATCCGCCTTCCCTCTATATGACAGCTACAATCATCCAGACTTTTCTGATCCCCTAATTCATGTCTATAGCTCTGATAGCTTCCTGAGTTAGAGGCTCAAACATACAGCCACCAACTCAACAGCACCCATAATATATATGGGTATATATTGGATATATAATGGGCATCCTGAACTTGACTCGCCCCCAATTCAACTCTCGATTTATGGTCTCCCCCATATACTAGCCCACTTGCCAAAGAAGGCAGCATCAAGACCTGCACTGCAACCTGTTCTAACTCAATGCTAGCCTATAATCAATGGGAAGTGGAGGTCTGTCCCTTATCAGCCCCTGGCGTCACTATTTATGTGGTTAATCTCACAGGACAATACAAATTGAATTTCCCATAATCTCTCTTTTCTTCATTTCCCATTCCAGTCCATTTGCAATTTCTATCTGTTCAGTATTCCAAGTATCTCCCAAAGTTGGCCATTTCTCATAACACTGGTCTGAGCTACCATCTTCTTTTCCCTGGGTGACTGAAATTAGTTTCTCCCCTAATCCCCTTGCTGCTGCTTCTGCAGCCTGTTGTCTGTTCTCCCTAGAGTCACCAGAGTCACCTTTTGACATGTAATTAGATATTGTTCCCTTGACTAGAATTCTTTAAGGGATTTCCATTTCATCTAAAATAAAATCCAAATGACTCAGCCCGCTCTGCACATTCCTACCTGACCTGGCCCCTGAGTACTTGTGTTGCCTCATCTCTCAAGCCAAGCTTACTCCCCTGTCAGACCTTTTGCACTTTCTATCCTTTTTCCCAATTATCTCATGGCTCATTTCTCCTCCTTGTTCAGGTTCTGCTCACCCATGTCACCTCCTTGGAGAGGTCTTTCCTGTCCTTCCTGTCTGCAGTGGGACCCCCATCCTATCACTGTCTCTCCCCTCACCCTGCCTCATTGTTTTCCCAGTGCCAAGTGCTGTCTGAACTTAGATATTTATTGGCCATCTTATTTAACATCTGTTTCTGTTATCAGCTTGTAACCTCCATGATAGTAGAGATTTTCTTGTTCACATTTTCTCATTGCCTAGAAAAGTGCCTGGCACATAAGTGGCACTCAAGTATAGGAATGAAGGAATGAATGAATGAATGATGCTTGAAAATTAAGAGGAAAGAAGCATTGTGCTATAGAGGAAAGAATGTACGGCCAAGACCCAACAGTCATTCATGCTATTCTTATCTGTGCTTCTACTCTGTCATTTTGGAGAAGTCACTGATCATCTCTGGGCCTCCATTTCCCATTGATTATAGGCTAGCATTGAGTTAGAAGGGATTGGAAAACTTTTCTATAAAGAGCCAAATAGTTAATATTTTAAGCTTTGCCAAATAGTCTCTGTCACAACTATTCAGCTTTGCCTTTATAGTGCAAAACAGCTAAGGACATGATAAATCAGCCTGGATGTCTCCCAATAAATATTTACAAAAACAGGAGTGGGGCTGGATTTTGCCCTTGGGCTGTAGTTTGGTGACCCTCTGGGTGATTTCCAGAGCCCCCATCTTTAATATTCTAGATTCTTTTTCTTTGATTTTATCATCTGGTGAAGAAATAGTAAACAACTTTAGAGAGGGGTCCCTATTGCATCCAATTTCAATAATAGTAGTATTTGCTAAAGCAGAAGGGATAATCTTAGGGAAGATTTGTAGCTATCAAATTGGTAGATGCATACACAGGGGGAAACTCCCAAGGAGAGATACCGGGCTGGATCACACTTGAAAATTAGAGTTTGGTGCCACTTTGGAGCTGAGCAGTTATTGAGGGGGTGACTGAATTTCCCTCCTTCTTAGGGGCCTGCAGCTCTCAGATAAGTAATGTTGTTAGTCAAAAAGTGGAAAGTTGTCTCCGTGAATCATGTTTGTAGATGCATTTAAATCCTGAATTTAAACAGTCTCTAATGACTCACTGCCTCTCTTGCCATACCATGAAATGACATCAGTGTGAAAAAGCTTACACTGGCCCCTCACACACTCCTCGATGTTCCTTCTAATGCAGACAACAGATGAGGTTCATCCTAGGCCGGTAACACACAGATGAGAGGTTCCAGATAGATGTTACTGACCTTTATAGATAAATTTCTCCAGCCAGAGTTTAAGACTGAGCAGGTGACAATTGCATTTCCAGAGGTTGTCCTTGAGAAATAAAAGCCTCACGTTGGGCATGGATTCTAGGAGCTCTCGATCAAGCTGCTGAAGCTGGTTTTGTTGAATTGCAAATACCGTCAGGTTCTCCCAAGGCTTACCCAGGGATATGGGAAGGTGGCTTATGTTGTTTGATGACAAATCAAGCTCCCGCAGCTGTGGGAGGGAATGGAAAAGTCTGCTTTCCAGAGAATGCAGGGAGTTCTGGGTTAGGTTTAAGACCTGCAAGTGCTGAAGTCCATGGAAGACTCCAGGGGCCAGATCTGAAAGGGAATTGTTGTACAAGTTCAGGGTCCTGAGGTGTGGCACCGACCTGAATGCAAAAGCAGGGAGCTGGTGTATCTGGTTATCTTGCAAGTGCAGCGTTAGGGTCTGAGGAGGCAAATCGGGAGGGATTTCAGCCAGACCCTGCCGGCTGCAGTCTACAGACCGTGAGGGTGAGTGACAATGGCACCTCGTGGGGCAGCCACACACCACCCGGAGCAGGAAGATCACACTGGAAAGCAGAAGCAGTTCACCTGCAAGCAACAAAAAGAAATTGAGATCAGAACCAATCTGTAAGTGATGTCAGCGTTTGTCCCCCCTTTGAAATCACAAGTACGGTGACTCGGAGCCAGCTAACATCTACATCTACCTGTACGAGACATTCTGTCACTCCCCATACTTAGGAAAGTCAGGCTGGGCTGGGTTCCTCCCCAGCGTGGTCAGCTGTTGCACACTCTGTGCTAACTATGGTCAGAGGCCTCGGGAAAAACACTTTCTTGGTGGCTCAGTAATAGGGAGATGGAAGACTGTCAAATAGAAAGGTGAAAAAAATCTTGGGGGGCACATGCCTGTTGTAGGGTGCAGCAGAATTATATGAGGACAGAAGTTTAGAAAAATAGCAGGTCAGTCAGATATTCATATTTCCAAAAGGTATGCTCCAGATCGGTGCCGTCCAATGGAACTTTCTGTGGTGATGGAAATGCTCTGTATTTGCTGTCTAGTATGGTAGTTGTTAGCTGCATGTGGCTACTGAGCTCTTGAAACACGACTACTGCAACCAAGGAACTGAATTTTTATTCGTATTTGATTTTAACTAATTTAAATTTATTTAAAAAATTTTTTTTACATTTATTCATTTTTGAGAAAAAGAGACAGAGCATGAACAGGGGAGGGTCAGAGAGAGAGAGAGAGAGAGAGAGAGAGAGAGAGAGAGAGAATCCAAAGCAGGCTCCAGGCTCCAAGCTGTGAGCACAGAGCCTGGTGCAGGGCTGGAACTTAGAAACCGTGAGATCATGACCTGAGCCGAACTCAGCCAACTGAGCCACCCAGGCGCCCCATTAGTTAATTAAAATTTAAATAGCCACATGGTGGCAGTGGTTACCATATTGGATAGGGTAGGTTTACAGTATTCCTATATATTGATGTCGTGTTTGCAGGTATAATTCCATGAATGATTATCATCTCTACTTTTTATTCAAGAGATTTTAAAAATGCAGAAAAGCATGTAACAAACACCCATATTCCTATAACAAAGTTCTGTCAATCATTCATAGTTTGTCATATTTTTCACCTCTTTTTTCTTTTAACTTAAAGAAACAAAGCATTACTGAAATCCCTTTGATTAGCACCCAAGTGATGTTTTCCAGCATGAACCCTCCTCACCCCTACCATCACCAATATATCCCTCTAGGCCTTTAACAAACAATACTTCATAACAACAACAATAGCAAACAGTCATGTATCCCATGTTTTGAGCCAGGCACCATTATAAGTGCATTATATATATAATCTTATACATTTAATCCTCATGACCTTGTAAATCTGGTTTCATTATTATCCCCATTATAAAGGTGAGGAAACTGAGGCACAGAGAAGCTAAATCATTTGTCCAAGGTCACATAGACAATGAGTAGCAGAATCGTGATTTGAACCCAGTCTGCTTCCAGAGTCTGCCAGGATCCTTATCTGCTATGTTTTACCACCTGTAAAACTTTTATACCCCCCACCCACACGCTACATGATGTTTTATATAGTGTGTTTTAAGACTACCTAAATATAGTCCTTGGCACATCTCATTCTGCAATTTACTCTGTTCACTCAAAGCTGACCTATCCATGCAGATATCTAGAGGGTTTGTTCATTCCTTTTAAGTGCTATAGGCAATTCCGCGGTGACACCATGCCAGATTTAATATTTAGCCATTCCCTTACTGGTGGGCATTTGAGTTGCTGCTGCTTGCCTTCACTACAGATGATGCTGCAGAGAGCGGCCTTGCACGGGACAACCTGACCATGCAGAAATTACGAAGAGGGTCTCTGGAATCAACAGGAGCTTCCTCACAAAGTTCAGAGAGGATGCTGGGTTGACATTTTTTTAGATACTGCTAGATCATTGTCCAGAGTAGCTATAATTCTTCCTGTTTTGTTCCAGAGATTTGAATTTCAAAATGTGGCAAGGACATTTTGTTAAATTGGCAGAGGAATTCACAAGGCCACACAATAATATTTAAAACTCAAGATGTTGTCTACGTATAGAGAGAGCTCTTAGAAGAGGTCGTTTGTTTGTTTGCTTTGGGCCTTGAGTAGGGAAATAGACAATGTGGCTGTCCAATGCACTGGGCCTCTGAATTCTCTACTGATATGAACAGTGCCTAGGGCAACAGGGAAGATATGTGGAGAGTCTTCTGAAAATTCTGCTTCATTTAGTTTAGCTCAAGGGATATAGAACATCAGAGTCCCCTTCCCTGTTCCAAAATATAAAAGAGCAAAATCCTTGTTTCCCTTTCTGTAATTTTGCAAATAATCTAAATGACTCTTTTCAAAGCCAACACATCTTCCTGGGAGAGAAGAGTCAATGCCTCCACTTTAACTATGGGGCTCAGGCATCAATTAGTTGCACAAAATCTAATCTGAAGCCAGAGAACAAGTTTTCCACAGAGTCCACTAATTTATTAATGAAAGCCTTGTCCTTCTGAGCTTGTATCCAGCTTGTTCCTTCTTCCTTAGGTCCCACTCCCCCACCTGCCCAAGGGGACGATATATGAACTCCAACTTGAAGCACTGTATTTTCTATGAAATGGCCTGCAGCAGGCCGACTGCATATCCAACGATAGCTGAGCACATTTGTCCCCACACCCTTCTTTGGACCCAATGTGGCACAAATATACATTCCCCACTAGAGACATTTTCTCAATCTGTTTGGTCTTTAGAGAGATGCAACCAGGAAGTAGGCTTCCCACAGATACCTTGCAGAAGGGACCCCTTTCCTCTCACGGACAGAGAACTTTTCTAAAGCAGGAGGGGATTCATCATGGCTCACCTTTCATGACTGAATCTCCGCAAGCTTCCTTGCTGAACCCGTGGCCCACCTCTATTAATCTGCAGATCAACAAACCGAGGGCATGGCAAACCCAGAGCCCAGCTTGTCATTCACTTTTTCTGAATCCCGCTTGTGCTTTTTCTTCAATGCAGCAAAGGGTTGTGGCTTCCAGGAGACTGCTTATTGAAGCAATGCTTCCACCGTCTCCATCTGGCTGGGATTGTTTTCCATAAGAGGATCTTTTGATTGGGCCCCTCTTCTTTCTTAAAGTGTCGGCCTCCCCAAGATCACCCTTGCTTTTCCCATTCAGATGGCGAGCCCCAGAGAGAATGTTTGTCAAACCTCAGTGAACAGCTGTAGCATTCAAACATGACCTCGATGGCTCAGCCTTTTTGATTATTTAATCTGCTTGAAGTCCAGGGCACCGAAATAAAACTGCCTTCTTAATCCGGTGGTGGCTTCTGAATTCTGTTGACTTATTAACCATGCTGTGTCAACCCCCGTCGGGTTGGGGGACGCTCGCCGTGGCTCCTCGATCTGGGGGTCTAGCAACAGAGCCAGCAGAGTGTGTAATATGAGGACAAATTGGCCTGCTGGAGGCTGACACGGTCTCCACAGTGCACTCGTTTCGTCTTATTCAGCCAACGTCCGTAGGGATTAGCTTGTGTTGACAGGGTCTTGATGCTCTGAAATTCATAGTCATGGCTTCCTTTAGTGGACATCACAGTCTCTTCTCACTGGTGCCACAAATACTTCTCAGCTGCTCCTTTGCTTTCTCCCCCCGAACTGACCTTTCGGTTCGCCTGACTTTGGAAATACTTCTCAGTCTTTCATCATTTCCCTGATGCTGAGGTTCTGGCCCTTCCCTCATTTTTCACGTCTGAAACAATAAAGCTGCCCCATGAGCACCAGGTGTCCATGAACTGTGGCTGTTCCCTAGTTGAAGCTGCTGGGAGCTTTCCCACTGGGGACTGGAACATTCTTTGAATGTGCAAATCCCCCCGTCATTTGCTGAGGTGGGGTTTCAGTGTCTGAGGCTTCTCCTCAGCGAGGCCAAAATGCTCCCATGCCCAAGGCGACTGCAAGGAAGGTGAAAACCGTGCTTTTACTGATGTAGCATGAAGTGGCAGTGTAATAGAGCAGTTGAGTGTGGGATTTGGAATTAGATGGGTCTGGATTTGGATTCAGCTTCACCATTCACCAGCCCGATGTCTCTGGGCGAGTGAGTCTCCCTCTGGGATCCTAATAGCCTCATCTTTAACACAGGGATAGTGATATTTTTGGCTTCACAAGATTGCTCCAAGGATTCAATTAAAGCAAGCAATGCGTGTCATGGCCCTGAATGCTTTAGTAAATGTTCACGGTTACCCATGAGAATGCCTGGCAGGACCTCTATGCTGCTAGCGTCCAAAGCACAGCCTTGACTGGACAGGGAGGAGGAAGACGCTGACCAAAGACCAGGATACCTGGGCCCTCATGCCACTCTGGTGGGACCGAGGGAGGAGGACCCTTGTGAATGAAGTTGGAAAACCGGATTGTGACCATCCTTAAGAGCCTGAACTTTGGGATCCCTTGCCTCCTTTGGCCATGCCCCTTCCAGTCTCACAGAACCCAATATAACCATCCTGCCCCCTCCCTGAAAAGTCCACTTTACCCAGCCTGCTATCTTTTGTCCTTTTCTACAACGTTCTTGGAACACCTGTGATACCATGGAGGAAAGTCAGGTATAGGTAACAGAGAGCCATTTAAATCTTAATAAGGGCTAAATCCTTCCTTCCTCCCTCCTTCCCCTCCTTCCTATGTATTTTCAGGTGCACAGAATTTAGTAATAATCATTCCTAGATGATCTGTGACCAGCGTAGCATTCAGTCATTGATGCATCATCATATAACACACACCTATGAACCTAACTCTCACTCTAAGAACTAGAAAGTTACCAGTAATTTGCATCAACCTGTATGTCTCTGTCTTTCCCTGGAGTCAGCAAACATTTTTGTGTAAAGGGCCAGATAGTAAACATTTTAGACATTAAGGGCCATACAGTCTCCATACAGTCTCTGTCACAACTGCTCAACCCTGATGTAGTGCAGAGCCAGCCATGGACAGTCTGTAAAAAAAAAAAAAAAAAGATGTGCCTGTGCTCCAATAAAACTTTATTTACAAAACGAGGTGGAGCACTAGATTGGCACACAGGTCATAGTTTGCAAGCCCTGCTCGAACCCATCCCCTAGCCACTGCCATCAGTCTCCTCCACCACCAAGGTTACCCACTCAGCTGCACATACCCGCCAGCCTGTCTCCTCATCTACAAACTGAGAGGGCTGGAAAGGATGATCTTTAGGGCATTCTCATGTCTGAAACCTTGTCATTCTCATCAGAATGCTTGAGTGGACTTGAAAGAGTCTGTACTTAAAGACGTTAGGGGTCCTGGACAGACAAAGAATTTGACTGACTCTTTGGGTTACAGCAGAGCTGTTAGCTGTGTCTTGCAGGGTCCAACTAGGGTCCCAGTCTCGTGGACTCCAGGGGCCTGGGAAAGATGAATCCACTGCCAGCACAGCTGAGCATAGGGGGCCAGGACACCTGCAGAGAAACTGGAGACAGTCCTGAAACCTGCAGGTAAAGCCAGGGTGTGTGGCTAAGCGAGGAAGCACAGTTTCATGCTGCTTCTACTCTGGAGCTGGGTGACCTTGGGCAAACCACAGGTTCTCTCTGAGCCTGAGCTTCCTCATCTGTAGAAGGCAGACAGTGGCTACCTCATATGACACAAGAAGGATCGAGTGATACATGTTAAGTGCACAGCACGGGTCTGGCAGAGCAAAATGAGCAAAAGTGGCATCTCCTACTAGCCCCACAGAGTCTGGACTGGCTGCTCTCACCTAAAATGTCAATACCCTGGGAACACACAGAGAACCCACACAGCTGATGGGTTCTTAGGAGCAGAGGCTGACCACCCAAAGGGGCTCCTTGGTTCTTTTTTGCTCCTGCTGACTCTAACAGGCGGTTAAAAGATGGGCAGGGCACACTTCGAGGGGAAGCCTCTCGGACATTGAAGGACTTGGATGCGGAGTCTGATTGATTTATTCCGTCTGACCTCAGCCCAGAGAACAAAGGGAGGGAGGGTGACTGTCATGCTAATGCCTGCAGCGCCTTCTCTCCCTCGGGGAGCCAGATCTGAGAGGTGGCAAGACAACTGTGCGTGCAGAAGACTAACAGAGATGCCAGATGTCAGGTCAGGCCAGGCTGCTCTGCAGAGGGGAGGGCTCCACCAGCAGGGTTCCTGGTACCAAGACCCAGTCGAGAGCCCAGTTTCCTACCCAGGAACTTGCTTCAGACACACCCTCGGAATAATATTCTCATTACTGCTGCACTGAGATGTCAAGAATTTCTTAGCTTTATATAAATAAAAATATATAAATGTAAATATAAATTTATACATTATACATTATATATAAATTTATACATTCACATTTATATAAAGCTAAGATATACATATATTTATATTTATATGCTTAGCCCGTTGTAAGTCAGAACATTTCCTAATATAGTTAGGAATTTAATGATTTAAAGACCATATGATGTAAATTGGTCTTTTTAACATTTCACCTTCCTCCAAGAAAAAACAACAACAATTATTAACATTTGGAATCAGTGATGTCTTGAAATCCAGCAAATGGGTAACAGCTCTTTCTCCCAGGTAATATACAACTATTTGTTAGAAATAAGTTAAAGCTAAATATACTCACCCAGGAGGGTGTTCGTAATAAATTGTTAGGTTAAATAAAGCAATTTGAATAGGAATATACATTATGTAATGCTATTTATGTTGCAAAAAAAAAGTCAGAGGTGCAGAGGTGGAAAGATTAACCCTAAAGATGTGCATTGATTGTCTGAAGAAAGAATAAGTGGGGAAGGACAGACACCAAACTAATAGTATGAATCGCCCAGAAGGTGGGGATAATTAAGAGAGGAGAATTAACTTTTTCTGTTTATACCTCTGCGTATTCAACTTGCTACAACAAACACGTGTTATATCTGTGATTTTAAAAATACAAAGGAGAAGAGCTGACTTTTGTTAAGCAGAAAGTACAGGGGCATCTTGTTTCCTGGGATATTTGAGATGGCTGTTCTCAGTGACCAGCTGAGTTCTGTGTGCTAGTGAGGTGTCCCTAGATCTCCCTTTGCCTCACTCCATGAGAATTAGCCCCAAAAGTGATACGTGTCTTTCTCTGCTAAGTGATTGCCACAAGTGAACAGACCTTATAACACAAGGAATATTTCTCGCAGTTTTAATGTCTGCTTTGGTAAAAGTTGTGGCAAATTACTCCCCCGTCCCCATCAGTGGGCCCCCATCCAAAGCAGGTGCTGCAGTGATCTGGCGCAGGGGAGGCCCCCGGGCCAGTGACAGCTGCTTCCCAGTATAGCTCAGAGAAAGACCTTGGCACCGTAAATTCACACAGAAATTTCATTTGGTTGTGGAAGAAATTTGGCATTTGGAAATATTTCCCTAGGGTTGTAGATGACCAAATGGCACCCATGTATAAAATTTATACAGACCTATATAAAAGACCTCAGTATTATTTCCTTCCTTCCTTGTTTCTTTCTTTTTTTTCTTTTTCTCTTTGGTCTTATAAAACATTTAGCAAGTGAACTAGGAATATATTTTTAAACGGCTATCATATTATTTATTTAGTGCTTACAATGGGCCAGATGTTGCTGAAGATTTGCACTGATTAAATACAAATCCTTAATGTAACGTAGCTACTATAATGAGTAAACTTCTAGATCTCAGTGGCTTAACACGACTCATTTATTGCTCTTATCACAGTCTAGTGCTGAGGTTACCAGGGGGCCAGGCTTTATGCAGTTATGCAGCCTCCTTCTGTCTTGGTCTTGTCACTGTGCTTTCCTTTTAGTTGTCAGTACCCTCTCCATCAGCTGGCTGACCATGGAAAAAGAAAAGAATCAGGCATGGGCCCTGCCTAGAAATGGTACTACTCACCAGGCTTGCCCTCCATTGGCCAGAATGAAATCACATGACCATATCTAACAGCAAGGGAGACTGGGAAATGTAGTCTCACTGTGTGCCTTGGAAGAAGAGGCATCCTAGAGCATTAGCAATCTCTGCCTCTACACTTTATTTGCAATATCTCACTTAAAGGTGACAACAACTCACTAGCCTGTAAGCTTAAGATGGTTTCTTTTATTTCTTCCCATAGTTTCTACGATACCATTCATTAAATATAATGAATTCATTAAATAAATGTTGAATGTTGAAGGAACAAATGATAAAACTAGGGCACAGAAAAGTAGGGGCACCTGAGTGGCTCAGTCAGTTAAGCGTCCAGCTTTGGTTCAGGTCATGATCTCATGGTTTGTGGGTTTGAACCCTACTTCGGGCTCCGCACTAACATTGCAGAGCCTGCGTGGAATTCGCTCTCTCCCTCTCTCTGCCCTTCCCCGACTAGCACTTTCACTCTCTCTCAAAGTAAATAAATAAAAGAAAAAAAACAACGAAGGCTCATAAAAGTAACTTGCTCAAGGTGTTCAACATATTTATTGCAAATATGCAGATTGTGAGTGGCCGTGTTAAATAAAATAATCAGGGAACTTACACTTTTATTTATTTAGTGCCTTGAGTTAATTTTCATACGGTCCATTTTTTCTGACAGTAAGCTACAAATTTAATTATCTGGAAGCCCTACCTAACTCAGAAAATAAGAACAAAATCAAGGCTGTTACATGGTTTCTCTAGTGTAAAGGTGGGAAGGATACATATACCTCTTCATTCTGTCTTGCCTTTTGATAAAGTAAAAATTCCTACATAGGGCTACCTAGGGTCATTCAGCATATGTCCCTATCCATAGAGTTTAAACTCTCTTTACCTGGCCTTGGCATATTTGATAAAATTGGTGGAGTAGTAGACATGAAATGTGTACCTTCAACCTCTCTAAAACTAATGAAGACAACGGCCAAGTGTATGAGACTGCTTTCCAGTGTCCACTTGTCCACAGAACCCAGGTCTGAGCTAAGGTGCCATGGGAACTAGAAAAGACATAGCACGTTGACCCTTGGCCTTCAAAGAACTTACCTGTTTGTGGGGTGCTATTGAGCAATCTTTATTATATCAGAGTCAACGCTAATCATCTCATCACCTTGAATCTGTTACCCTTGAGAAGACTGCACATGACTTTATTGGACCCTAACACCGTCTAGGTCTCCAGGAACCACATCTCAGAAGTCCTTTGGCTAGTAGCAGAGGCAGACCTAGATGGTGTTTTGGTTTAGTTTGGTTTGGCTTGATTTGGTTTTGGCCCATCAACTCTGCATTGCCAAGGTTAGAGGAAGATCAGACTTCACATTTCAGTGTCTTGCAAACCTCAGCCTTCCAGCACTCAGTTTGCCTGCATTTGGGACGTATGCGAAGATAAAGATGCATCTGAGATAAGTATGATTAAAGGTAATTAGTGAGCTCATGCGGCTGGTGGAATAAACACAGACAGATGCTGGTTGATAGAAAGCTAACAAAGAAACAAAAAGACCAAGAAACATGGCAGCTTAGGAAGCTTGGCCAAAGCCTCGCACTGACACACTGTTTTACTTAGATCTTTTGATGGGCCGCTTTTGTCTCTGCCCCAGGAATATAAATTGGAATCAAATTTATGTTCATGTTAGATTGTTTACTCACGTTATACACATAAAATGAGTGTTCTGTGCAGTTCTTCTTGGTGAATTTATATTTGCTTTTGTACTTCTATGATAACATGATAGTCCAGGTTCTGAAATAGATGGCAATGTGTTTTCATATTTTCAAGTTACGGTTTAGTGTGTGTACATTATGATACAATAATGAATCTGTGTTTTGCCTTTTTCTAAGATTCGCTCTATGTTAACTGTTGGATACCTGTTGCTTGGAAATGTTCTAGAAAACACAATTGTCTCAGGCAGGACTTACATCGTAACCCACTAGTTCTAGATCCGGGACTGTTCAGAACTCCTTTTCCTTATTCCAGACTTCACCTGCCCCATTATTTCATTTTAGAACAGTGTCCCTATTAAAAGCATGGACTATGGAATGAAACCATCCAGGTTCAAAGGCTGCCTCCAACATTTACTGGCTCTGAGAACTTAAAGAAGTCCTATAACCTCTCTGATCTTCAATTTCATCATCTGTACAAAGGAACCCAACTGGCAGGTTCACAGGGAAGGTTAAATAATATTTTTATGTAAGAATGTGAGAAAAAAAAGGCTTTGCACATAGCAATAAACATTAGGTATTATCTTCTCTATTATTCTGTCCGTATGGCATGTACCAACTAGACACTCAGGCTGCAAGCGCTTAACACTAATCTATTTGGAACAAAAATGAGGAAGTTAAGGCAAAGGAGCATTTTGTTTGTGTGACAGAGTTCACCATCTTCTTGGATTATGAAGCACGCATATGTATGTGTTATCTGACTAGAATCAGTTCAATCTAAATGAGTTTGTGCTGGACATATCTCATTGTCCTCAATATAGCCCCACAGACAAAAGGAAGTTGGTTCTTGATGTCACGTGACCGCACCTTCAGGACGGACGTTCGTTTGCAAAATAAAGGTCCTGTGTTGACATCCGTGCAGCTTCCAACCACATTTATAATGGGCAGGGCAACTCCCCATTCTGGTGCGGGAGTGATGTTCTTCTCCTTTCACTTCATCCAAGAAGCCCACTTGGGCCACCTGCTATACGCTTGTGCTGTTGCTTTTTCAGGGGTGTGTCCACTGATCTTTCCTCTAGCCAGCGCCCCTCCACCCCGCCCTGTAGGAGGCCCCTTACCCCATCCCTGCATAATTAGAGAAAGCATGCAGTCAGCTCCCCAGAGCCGCTTAGCTTTCATCAGGAAGCAGGAGTTTCGAGGTTGATAGGAGTGGAAACATTTGTGTTCAACAAGCAGGCTCCTTCATGTGTTGTCAACATTTCATTTGTGATTCTAATGAGGGCGGAGGAGAAAATAAACTCCGCATACCGCTCTCCACTGCTACAGCTGATGTTTGTAAGTTTCTAGCCATGGCCTTGAGTTGCGTCTATCAGGAAGGCATTTGGAAAAGCAGCTGTGTGCCACTGCTGAGTGTGAGCGAGAGCTAAGATGGTTAAATCGACTGAGGCAGTTCTGAGAATGGGAAGTGTACACGTTTACTTTTCAGAGACTGGAATTTCTGTTCCTATCGGTGCTTTAAATGTCTCCAAAAGGTGAAGGCACTCTTACGTTAAAAGCAGGGTGTATTAGAGGTACTCTCATTCTTGACCCCTGGCTCCTCTCATCTCTGAAAGTTTGCCACCGATTTCGTGTCCAGCGTATCTGCTGAGTGCTCCTTACCTATTAAATTCTGCATTGAGGGATTTTCTAGGCCTGAAAATAAGACACAAGAAAATAAGTGGACCTGCAACCCAATGCCCCTCTGGTCCAGCGAGGAGACAGACATCCGTGACACAGCCACACAAATATCCGAGAAAGCACAGCCCTGCAAAGGGCCGGGAAGAGGAGATACATGGTGCTGTCATAGAACAGAGTCAGGGGATCTGATTGGGGACCGGGGGAGGGGGGGGGGCACCACCCTTTGTATGTTATAACCCGGCTGCAATCTGAAGGGTGGAGAAGGGAAGGGACCAGGGCCGTTCCGGGTAAAGACACGGCCTCAGGCCGACAGACCAGAGAGAAGCCCAGAGCCTGAGGAGATCCTGGAAGCCAGTGTGGCCACAGCAGAGAGGGGGAGGGGAGGGCCTCCGTCGAACAAACGCTGGAGGAGGGGTGAAGAGCTGGTGTTGAGCTCCTCGCCTCACCTTCCACTGGGTTTTTAATAAGACTGAAAAGCTGTGCCTCAGACACACGTGCCTCTGTGGGAACGCTGCTGCCCGGGGTCGGGGGCGAGATTAGGGCCCTGCACTACACACTGTGATGACTTGGGGAGGCGCTGTCCCCTCCCACGCAGGGGTCCTTTGACAGCTGTACCCCTTTACCGAAACTCGAAACTCGACAGACGCATCCCGCCGTCCTCAGAACGCTTCTTGGAGGAGTCTGAGAGGGCCTGGGTTTTGTAAGCATTACGAAATCTCAGTACAAGTTCATCAAATCCTGAGCCGTTACTTACAGTTTGGGATCGTGGCAAGTCTGTTCCACATGTGCCAGAGAGGCGGCAGAATGGAACTGCCATCCCCCACCCAGGTGCCTGAGTCCAGGGTGATCGAGGACGAGCCAGCCCTGCTGACACTCACAGGCTACATTTGGTGCAACAGAACTTTCTCTCCTGAGCTTCATATGTATGTCACTGTGGATGTAATACCCAACAGACCAGGGGTGGTAAATAAGTGCCACAGTTACCTGCTTTGTAGGCCCCAGTGGCCCCACCAGCAGCCCCATGGGGCCCAGCATCGCCTCAGAATCCTTTTCAGCCCAGGGTCAAAGGCGGACAGCAGCAGGCAGTGGGTGGCATCATGCTAATATAATCCTAGCTGCCGTTCCTGAAGTAGAGCCTTGCCCTCTGCAAACTTGGCTAATAAGTCTGGCACACAATGCCAAGGGCCACTTTGCTGAGGAGAACACTTAAAGCGTGTCCTAGGAAGCTACGGACCCAGCCCACTACCCCCAGACTTCTACATCCTGTGTAAACTTGCTGCTTTCTCCTTGTCCTTGTGAACATGGTAATTTTTCTACAGTGATAAAAATAAGTGATTTTATTATTATTTTTTTAATGGCCTTGCAAAAACAGAAACCCAATTTTAGGAAGTATCGGGAAGGAGTTAAGTTGTGGCCTGTGCATTTGCACAGGAAAACGATGGTGTGCACTAGAAATGGGATTTCAGAAAAGTCGGGGGCCAGGGTGGCAGGGTGGCACAGACCTTTTGTGTTCCTGCATTTAGACACGAGTAAACCCCGGGTAAAGTTCCCTGTGACTGCAGGGCGGGGGGGGGGGCGGGGGTTGTGGGAGCGGCAGGCCAGTAGTGGCCTCATACAGGGTGTCTCATGAAACGCTCTAGCAGAGCATGCCCACAGGCTCAAGAAGATGATACCTGGTCCAGAGGAAGTCCATCAGAAAGAGTAACAAATGTGGACGGCAGTCTGGGATTAGCAGGAAGCTGACTCTGCCTCCCCATTTTGTCCTTCCGCTTCTGTCACGTGGGCGGTGACGGGCACTATTACTTAGCAGCTTATTCTTTGTTTAGTTCTTTCTCTGTCTAGAAGTTGCTTGCTCTGACAGACATAGGAAGTCCCTAAAAAGAAAGAGTCTCCAACTCAGGGTGCTTACCTGGAGACGATCATGGGTTCCTCCACCAATCCAGGAGTGGAACTGTGATCTTCTACATCTGACTGTGGAAAAACTCGAGTCTTAGGAGGGGTGAGTCACTTGCCAGAGATGAGTTTATGTGTTGTAGAGCTGGGACTTGAACCCCCAACATGCCCGCTTTCAAAGCCTTTCAACTCCTGTGCCCTTTGATCTGGACTTATTTTTCCCAGACCCCTCCCTTCACCAGGGGACAAGCCGAGGAAAAGCCCTAGAAGAGACAGCCCATGCAAAACAGACTGGGTAGAAAGAATGCATCCACCCCGCCAGGGAAGATGGCCTCCCTTGTAGTTCCCCACTGCCCCATGCTTCTCAAGGCCACTGAAAGAAAGGGCGAGACTGCCGCCTCTCTGCTGTGACCATGGGTTGGGGAAAGCATTCTGGGGCAGAGGTGAGGAAAGCAGGCTACTTTGTGCATGGAGTTAGCACTAATCTGGTCCATCCCCAGAACACTGCTATCAGTCAGATCTCGGGCATATTCGTCATGGCTGCTCCCCTGTTCAGAAGCCGCCCCCACAGGCCCACCCTCTGTTCATCCTGGGCAGGAAGAGGAGAGTTTCCTTTGATCTGTAGACCGGTAGCAGGAGAAGCATGGTAGTTCATGGACCCCCCTTGCCCCTCCACCCAGGCGAGTGTTTGGACAGCCATGCAAACAAAGCCCCTTGGCCATGCTTGCTTTAGAACAGCTAGACTGAAGACAGAGCATGGAACAAAGTGGAAGGTGGAATAGCAGCCCCCTTCATACTGAGGACTTGTAGGTCACAGTGCAGAGGAGAGGATGCTGGGACTCAGATAAACAGCTCAGAAAGAGGGCAGAAGACAGATGGGAGGGACCCAACCCACTGGGCGGCTGGACTCCTGTGATCGGGAAGGAAACACACACTCACCATGCTGGTTTCTGGTCTGTCTGAAACCGCATGCCCTGAATAAAAGGCATCAGCCTGGAAACAGATCAGCTAGCTTTGGAGATATATCCATAGTTTAAAAAGTAAGACAGGTAGCTCTTGGGAGACCGTAACTGTTTTCTACTTATCCTCCTTTAGAAAGCAAAGTTTTTGAGTCAAGTAATTCTGAGTAGGGAATGTATGTCTTTTAAAAATATGTTCAGCTTCCCTATAGTATAGTATACTTTGATGTATTGAAATAGAGCTTGCCCCACTCAAATTACTGCCTCGGTGCCTAATGCTGTAAAATTAAACTATTCCTTGCTGATATTTTATTAAGCTTCACCAGCATTTCAGACTCAGACATCTCATGGAGCTTCGGGCCATATGTTTTATATGCTGTCAGGGTGAACTCTGACTTCAGTCCACAAAGCTCCCTTCCCCCATGTCTTTATATAGTACAGGATTTCCAAAAACTTTCATACAGGCCATTTCCAAATTGTGGACTGTTGGAAGTAAATGTCTCTGGTCATATGGGTGTCAATGTCTAAAAAGACAAGAAAAAAAGAAAGAAGGAAAGGAAAATAAGTTGTATTATGAAAAGTTCTTGCTTCCTGGACATTATTTTTGCATTTCTTCTGTGCGTGATACTCTTATTTTTCTCACCATTGTGGGTGTGGGGGGCGGGGTGGGGGAGGATTCGGGGAGTGTAGAATGTTTCTGAAATCCATATGCAGAAAAGGGTATGCGTTCATACACAATGAGTTCACCTCTCTAGCAGGGAGCCAAAGGTACCTGTATGTTTGCATTTGGGGAAATAAATGGATATCGCCATAAATGGCGATCCTCTTAACAAGACTAACTTTGTCACTTAATAAGGGAGATTATTTCATAGATTTAAAACCAGTTAACACATTTAAAACTTGATAAGACAAGGCAATCCTGGTATGTTTCCTGTTCTCCAGTGATTAAAGCAAATCGAACGCTGGACCAGAAGAGGTTTTCCATGGTACAAGTAATGCTGTGAATGTTTCTCCTGGTAATGCAATTAGGAAATATTGGCCCCAGTTAATGAAACTTAAACAAAACATGTTGCCCTCGTCAAACTTGTTCAAGTTGTTAAACAGGCAAAGCCTTGTCCAAAAAGTTAAAAAACAGGGGCATATAGTGTTTCCATGGAAACTCTGTTAAAATACTGATTTGTGGATATGATCATAATCAGCCCCATAATCTAATATGACTGAATTAAATGAAAAAGAATCTCAGTTATGAAGTAAGCCCCCTGTGTAAGAGTATTCTTACACATGCAGAAAACATATGGATCCTGACGGACACTGTTTTCAAACTACTTATTGGCACAGAGATGGAGCTTTAAGACTTGGGTTCTGTCTGTCTGTTTTTTCCCCCCTCCATTCATTGTTCATCGGTTTTATAATGCTGGGATTATGTGGGTGAGCAGTAAATAAAGTCTCGATGACATTTGGATTTTTCAATATGTATCATTGCTCCCCACACAACACCCCATATTGTTCTCATTGTCTTTTGTGACAAGAGAAGGTAACCCATAATATTTAACGGTTTGTGGGACGTTACAAGATTAAGTTTTATTAAGGTCATAATTTCTTCCTGCTAATGGGATCTTGGTAGAATTCTAACTATGAGGTTTCCCATGGATGCCTTTGACCTCTTGAGGGAAGGACACAAAGGCGAGGCTGGGTCGAGCGTTCCCGGGACCCTGGGCAGGAGCTTCAGGGCCACGCACCAGTCTCCCCACCCCACAGTTCCACAGCTCAGCTTGCACCTGCTTGGGCGGTGGTAAAAATGGAAACTGCTCACCATGGTATACACTTCAGCCTGGTGGGACAGCAAGGACAGCTAGCTGTCTGTCAGCAAACTTCTTGATTCATTTGGAAACCATTCCACCCAAAAAAGAGCAGAGGTGCTCTTCGTGGGCTCAGTTTCCTTCTCGCAAGAATATGTCCTCAGTTGTGTACGAACATCAGATGGGGGTTACCGCATAGTTCTTAGCAAGAGTCTGGCAATTACTCACACCTTAGTCATGGCATCCCAGAGCATCTGTAGAAAGACTTGTGTGACGGGACAATGATAGGCGAACGTGCCCCTGCCCAGGTGCATCTACACATCTCCTGCCAGCATGGTCCCTGGATATGTGGTCTGTGGGTCCTAAGGTCACAGAGTGTCTGTGACTCACTTTCCAGACAGAGATATGCTACGTGGGGTCAGGCAAAGCTCAGAGATTGGACCCTGGCCCAAAGAGGGAGCATGACTTGACTTCTCCCTGTCTTCTTCCATCCAGCTCCCAGAGCGGCTATGCCTTCCGGCTACACACGCCTTATTTGGGCACAGAGAGGAATACACTCAAGAGACAGAGGTTCAGGCCTGAGTCTGGCGCCAGGAGCTTAAATCTGCTGGATTATTTACTCTCCTTAACACTTCACTTTCTAATCAACTTGGTTTTATATCCAAGTAATCTATGAACACAAATTTTAAAAATTAAATAGTATTATAAAAGTTTGCAAAGAATAAAAAGAGGCCCCGACCCCCCCCACCCCCTACTCCCAGCCCCTAGTCCCGCTACCTAGAAGCAAAAGCTTCTGCCTCTCTTAGCATCTCTATTTCTCATTAGCAAGTTGAGATTGCTGGGTTTTATTGAATTTCAGGCATTACTTATTTACTTCCTTTCATACGTGATACTTTGGACTTTTTACATCATCTCCTCTTGCCTTGTCCATAGTCCACAGCTGCATACCTATCTCATAGCTTTTTATCAATTAGATAGTGATTATATCATGAGGACTACCTGTGTGTATCCCCTACTGTGATAAATAGTGTGCTACTGTGTGTTTCCTTTTTTACAGTATTTTTTCCCTGGATCGAAAAATCCCCATGTCCTTTTGTTTGCTTTGTTTTCCTTTTACCCATGTATTTTTTTTTCCTCTTTGTATTTCATCAACCATCTTAGGTGCC